CGACATTATACAAGCGTCTCTACAAACATTTACATCAAGATACTTTTTAATTTATTAGATATGATGCAATTATATGCATTTAAGGTTTACTCTCTTTGCAAGCGCTTCGTGTCTCACGCTAGACCGATGCCGCTTTGTAAACGGACAAGTCGAGTTATTATGGGCTTCGCAATCATCGCATTGCAACAATATTAATCCTCATGTGAACGGTACTTAACGACACAAACGAGAACCCCTTCACATGCATACGAGCTCCATCGGACCGTTGGACGGTAACCTAGTTTTGCGGGCGCTGGAACATTCAGCGACCCAATTACACCCCGCGGCGGGGATGCTGCACCGCGAATACGGATCAACAAGCTTCCCGACCTATATAACGTGTCCCGGATCCACGAGCTGTACTTCCTCGCGAGAGCTCGCGCTGCCGCGGATCGATCGTTTGCGCGTTACGTCATGCTGCTTTATCGTCAATCTCTCGCGTGAAAAATTGAATTTGGAAAAGCGAAGAGCCACTTGTCAATATTTACAAGCGGTATCAGCAATATCTCGGAATTACGCGTTTAGATGCGGATAAGGAAAGTTTTGCCGGTCTTTCCTCGAGCGTGAAATCGGATGCGGATGTGAGCCGCGCTCGTTGTCGAAGAACCGTTAAGCTTTTTGCCACGCAACGGACGTGGGTAAACGAGGTAGTGATTCGCGATATCTCGATCGCTCGAAAAAAAGAAAAAATTATCAAGGGGGAACATGTTCCTTAACGATCCGTCAGATCCGGCCGGTCTGTCTAAGTCGCGCGCTCGTCCTCCAACTGATCGCGTTGCGTAACGTTATGTCACGACGGTAATAGCATCGTGTAACATCGGCCAGGCGTGCGGTACCATTTTGCGATTTCCACCAACGAGCTCGATTGACTCGTCAGAAGGCTCGCGATATGTATCGGCGTGGCCGCATAGCGGATAACGCTTCGCCATGAAGTCGTTCCCGCTAATGGCTTTATGGTCACCTCGCTTTTGCAAGGCTCTACCTGCGCGCGTCAATATTTACAGCATCCGCGTCGCTCCTGCCACGATACGCAGACATAGATAAACGAATCTATTCAACGAGGAATGCCGCGTATTCTCCTTAAGAATTTCCTGCGATCTTGAGATCCGACACGAAAATAATTATTAAAGTAAATTGAAATTATTGCATGCGTTTTTAATTATTTTTTATCAATTTTCAACATTGATTACATATGATCGGAAAAAATAAAAGTTTATTAACTCAATTTAAAAAAAAAAATTATTTTTGCCAATCAAATTGATATTTCGATTTTGAAAAGTACAGTCAATTTTATCGAAATTATCATAAACACATTTGTTTTCGTACGCTTGATATACAACAAAAGGAAAATTGACATAATTATTTTATAATTAGCGGCTATCGTGTTCGCCGAGCAGTATTATATCAATATTCATTAATGCAAGTAGAGAAAGAGGAAAGGAAAACCTCGTTTGGCCGAGTTTGGCGAGATTTCGATTCTCACGACCCAGTTTTTTTTCTGTCGCTGTAATTTACACATGATACTCAAAAATTGTTCCCTTCTCTTTTCTCATTTCTCCTTTTTCTTTCTCCAACCGTTGTCCGCTTTAAACGTTTCGGTCAATTCATAAACAAATCCGTGTGCGAAAGAAACTTAATGAGTAAAAGCGACCGTAACGAGGTAATTTACTTTCCTTCTCATCGTAAAATTCTGCGAAACGCGGTCGAGAAACTTCCGGTATCGCGACTAAGAGCGAAAACATACCACAACAAATTTCTTTATCGATGAACAAGCATTATATGATTTTTTCAGACAATATATGCGTTTATATTATGCATTCACAACCGATGTATAAGTTTTTTTTTCTCCGTGTTTTGAAGCTGTTACTGCTTAATAATTGATATTACGTGGTACATCATGAATATAATTGGTATTATATAATACAGTGACGGTGTATAGTCATATACGAACCGGCTGGTAGGCGTGTGTACTATATTTTACATGCTAATTTTCAATGTCAATTCGTTGGAAATATTCAGCATTGCGTATTCACACGTATCTTTCTTTATCCAGAACCTCGAGAAGGTAAACTATACCGTTTTATTTTCGATTCAAGTCTGTTTTTGACTCGTTTTTAATTATTAGATCATTTTAATTTAATTAACTATTTCTCTTAGCAATTTTGAATTTAAAAAACTGATGAATTTTTATTCGATTAAAATCATACAGGTGTCCGTTTGAACTGGAATGTACCGAACACGTATAGGATGTGCAAACAGAACGGCAAGATTAAAAAGATAAATCCAATCAACGAATAGATGGATAGAACAGTCGATGAGCGGTAAACGACGCGTTTTCTGGCGCGTTATTTCTTATTTTCGACTGAGATACTCTCGAACGGATTTCCTCGCGTAAAGAAATATGCCCGTTTCTTTTTAATTATCCATCGGGCCGATTATATCCGCGTGCTCGATCCCTCAAGCCGTGCAAGCGGTATAATTCACGCATACCGGTTAACGGTACAGCTTAGACTCCAAACGGTTTCGACTCGTTTCTCTTCGTAGATCGAGCGATCTACGCCGTTTTAATTAAACTCTTGAATTCGTTACTTCCGCAATAATCATAAGTCGATCGTAATCTCGCAATTAACGAGCAACGATCGTACGTGCGTATCGGGTAGATTTAGAAAACTGGGAAAGTCGGGGAAATGCGAATGCCATTAGGACGAGCTAATTTAAAATTTCCAAGCGAATAAAAACGAAATGAACGCTGCTTGATTTTGCGATATTTATAAAGATATTTATAAAGAAAATTTATTTTGACAGATCTTGATTAGCATTGCACGAGACTAGTTTTGAAGATTTTTAAATAATTAATGTCAAATTGACATCATTGATCCTGTCAAAATTATTGAATTGTAAAGAATCTAATATATATATATGTAAATTTTTTAAATAAAAAAATATCACTATATTATGTGAATTTAAAAGATTTTGTTTTAAAATAAAAATATTTATATTGATAAATTTGTAGATATAATTAATACAATATGAAAAATACGATTAATATAATATAAAATTTTACATATTTAGCTACACAAAATTTTGTGCACGCGGTTCTCTGATTGTACAGATGCATGTAAATCGCGTCCTAACATCATATTGTATGTCAATTACTTTTTTATGAAGATAATAAATATATATATTAGAAAGCAAACGATGATATATAAATAATAATTATCTTAAATTATATATTATAAGTATTATTTTCAGTCTCACTATTAAATAAAAATTAATAATAAAATCGAGACAAGAGACAATCTATACACAAAACCAGATGTTTGCTACAAAAATTCACTCAAAACCGAGACAAAATTGAAGTTTTCGATATTAACACAATATTTTTACGAATATCTTACGCAACCCTGATCTTACCCTATTATCAGCCTCGGAATCGACTCGGATCTTCTCGCCAAGTGGCGCAACGCATATAACGGATCGGTACACGAGAAACGGGACAGCCGCAAAGTGTGCACGCTCGGGAGGTGTTGCTTTCGAAATATCGGCTGGTACGTGCGTCATTCCTTATGCCGGCCGGCGTTCTATGTTTCACTTTCGACTCTCGATGTACTCGCGCGTTCCGGGAGTGGAACACGGCTGGCTTAGCGACGGCCTTGACTACGTCGTCGTTTCTGCGCTCCCTCTCTGGCGGTTTTGTCCTTCGCGCGATATAGGTTCGAGAGGGCCCGCCACCTTCTACGGGAGAACCGCTCTATTCTTCTAGCTATGCTTGAGATATCATCGCGGAAAGCATGCACCGCCAGTCGAGCGAGGGATCGCGAGATAATGGCATCTTTATGCGTTGCCTCGCGCACTCGAAAAAAGGAACGGCTCTTGTCGAAATTGACAGAAATTCGATCGTGCGAACTTCTGTATAATTTTGTCACGTGTTTAGATTCTTATATGGATAAGAAAAATTGATAGAAATATTTTATTTATAATACAATCGATTTATTTATTCTCCATTTGTTTTTTACTTGTTGGCATGTTTCGATATATTATGAATATACGCGCGAATGTATCATCTATAAATATATATCTATCAATAATATATATCTCTAGTCCTTAATTTTCTAATAAATTTGTCTATTTCTGGAAAAAATTGAAATACACATTGTACGCGTACTTTACATTTCCCATCAATTTATGTCAGATGTACGTTTCGTTTGACACTTTTCGCTCGCTTGGAAAGAAAAGCTCGTAATAGTAGAGAAAAGCAGTGGACGACACCGATTCGTACAAGTGCCTACGTACGGACATAGATACGAGCTCCACGTGCAGTATTAACGCGGAAATCTATAGTCTTTCCTGGAAAAGTGACTATCGATTATAACTCTTGTGCTACCGGGTATTACTGTACCACATCACTCGGTACATTCGGAGTAAAAAAATGGAAAAGAGAGAGACTCGACTTGTCATTTCGCGCGGTTTCAAGAAAATATTATTTTAGATTTAAATTTGGCTGTTATTTGAAAAAGATTCTTAAGAAAGAGTTACTTTGGACTCATTTTGTACCCTTCCGCATTTATAAATGCGCCTCTTTTTCTTCGTAAAAGTTTCTAAAATTAATTACTTCCACGAAGAAGCGATGTTATCGAGAATTATCAATGGATATCCAATGGATTTTTAGAATTTTGATTCGTGGAAGATTTTAAATAATCTTAAGTCGAAATAAAATTTTAAAAACTATTGTCGCGCAAATATTGATTAATATTTAGAGCATTATAAATTTTACGTAAGTAAAATTTTTAAATTAAGTAAATTTAAATAAATAAATTTATTTTTCTTTACTTATTTGAGCCAAATTCCTAATTATAAAGTTTTAATAAATTTAATCTAAAAATAAGCGATGCAACGCTTATGAATATACGCGTATGTGTTACACGTAGCGGAACTATAGTACGTGGTAATGTATATTTCAGATCCAGGAAACGACGGCCGAGCTCGAACAATGATTCCGAACGGATGTACAGCGGTTGGGGCGAGAGGGTGCTCTGCGGACGTGAGGGTTGTCGCACCAACGAACGCGGTGATTGCATGGACGAATGCGCCGCGGCCCTGGTCCTTATGTCACTCTCGTGTTCACCTCACAGTCCTCACAACCCCCCGCCACTTCACTGCCAATACAATTATGGTATATATTATATATTGTATTCTAATTCATTTTCTATCATTCGCTCAAAATATATCGTCAAAAGGCAAAACAAATTTTCTCCTCATCGTTTGCTATCTCTTTTCTGTCATTTCTACGATCGCGTATATTCATTTATTGCTTGAATTATTCTTTAAGTCATTCGTATTATTTATCGTTATAAAATAATAAGGTATTTTTAAAAAGTAGTTGAAATATAATTTTTCAATCGGATCATTTATTAATCATCTATACATCGTCTTACGTCTCATTTACAAATAAATTCATTCCGTATATTTTTGCAGCGCAAATCCTTGAATTTTTTCGAGCTTGCGCGATAATTGAAGAAATGAACCTGAAGGGAATACGATCTGCGACAGGTTCCTGGGGGAGTCGTGGAGGCGGAGGTGGAAGTATGGTCGCCGGTTCGCCCGGCGTCGGCGGCATGTCAAACAGCAGTAGCAGCAGCGGGGCTTCCTGGCGAAGCGGTACCCCCAGTCCACCCCTTAGCGAGGAGGGTGTACCGACCAGGAGTTCGCCATGCCCGACGACCTCGCATCCCTCGCACAATCAACCCCACTATCCTTACAACGCGTCCGGCTCGTCGTCAAGCAGTACTCCCGGCTCGAGCACGTTAGACGAGGGAATAGTACCCGACTACATCGAGGAGCAGCACCCACGTAAGAAGGTGAGTAACCTTTTCCGATGTTCGTTCACCTCCTCCTTATTCGGCGACGCATACTTTGGTCAATATTTCCCGCGTCGCACAAAAGATTTGGACGTGTTAATTCGGACGATGGCCCGAAATGGCCAGGAATAGCGGGGGATCTCTCAGAAATTTGTCGGGGGAAAATCTAAAAGAGTTCCTCGTGTCGCACACAGTCAATTAACACGTTGCGTATCTCACCGTATTTACTTGGCAATGCCGTAAAAAGCTACTTCCGCTATCTCTCTGTCAACGCGCTACCGCTGACCTTTGAGGCGAGTTTCCAGAGTCGCGTATTCGCGCTACTTCTAGGAGCGAGCTGCCCTCATCCGCCTTTGAGAGTCTTTATTAACCTTAATCTCCGTGAATAATGTATACTCTCGCGTCAACGCCCAATTCAGTTTGCCAAGTCTCTATAGACGAAGAAAAATGGTTCTTATAAAATTCAATTAATCGTCGCTCATGTTTTTTCGGTTGATTTCGATGTTTGACGATTACGATTGAAGTCAAATATGATCATTTCATGAATTAAACGTCAAGCTATTTATTTTTTCAAATTGTTCTAAGACGTAAACAATAAAATTGAATTTCGATGCGTATTGATAAAAGTATTTTTTTTTTATCTCTTTATGTTAGCGACATTGAATATGACTTCCTTGATGCTTACTTATATTAAAATTGCATGTTGAAGCAACCTTCGCGATGAGAATACAAGTTCGCCGTGATAAAAATCGAATAGCCTTCGAGAAGCCGTACGCTTGTGTCTCCATGATTAATTCTTTCCGTGTTCGCGTAGTAGTAGTACGTGATAGCTTAATTAACGTCAACGATAACTCTATTGCGTAAGACGTCGGCGTGTCGGGGCATCAGGGTGAACCTTGCATGCGTATATCGTTCAATCTGGGCTTAGATTGGATCCGCTTCCCCGAGGTTCTCTCGTATTTCTTACACGTAGGAAACTAATGATTCAGTTTAAATTTCGACTTATATTTCGATGCGGAAAAAATATATCTTATTATATGGAAAAAATGTTACAAGCAAACCTTGAGAATTTTTATTCAAGTCCTTTTTGTGTGTTTAATGGCATCATGCATAGCGTAATATCCTAAGCATTGAAATGATTCCCATTTTAGGAGCACACGTAACCACTAATAATGCAATTTTGCAAAAATAATTGCGAATAATGACAAGATAGAACTCAAATTTGAAACATATTTCTATTAAAAAAATAGTTATTAATTTAAATTATTATTAAATTATTAATATTTATTCCTTAGCATTTATTATAGTAATTTAATGTAAATGTACATGTAGAAAAATAACCAACTTATTAAATTATTAATTAAATTATTATAATAATATTTGTATAACTTCACAATCATGTGCTAACAATATTTTCTCATCCTCAACATTTTTGTTTCAATATTTCTTAGAAAGTGTCAGCTTAGAAAGTATCGGATTAATTTATTTAAATCCCTAAGTGATAACATTTGAATACAAGAAAAATGGAAAAAATGGCGATTTTATGTATGATATTGTTTCGCTATTGTTACGAAAGAGCAAGAGAGGGAAAGGACATGATCGAGGCTTAGGATATATCGCGACATGTTGCGCGTGCTGACAGTGATGGTTTCGCGGGACGGCCCTGACCGGTCAGAGATGCAGGCGAGGAGTCTTGATCCAAGAACCAAGCCCGCGCGCGCGATGATGACATAAGCGCGCCGGCCGAGCCAAGGATGTAAACACGCGCGGCGGATTTTTTGGTATTTCGTAAGACGGCTAACAAGTCGGACCTTGAGGTATTATCGCCCCGCGCTAATCTTAGGTACTCGGCGCGCGCGTTCCTTCGCCTGCCGTTTTCGGACGCTTGCACGCGGGAAAATCGCGATGGCGGTCCCCGAAATAGCCGCTGAAAGGGAGCGCGGAAGGTCTACGTGTAACGCGTATCGACTCGCTTAAAGCCGCTGCTCTAAATTGTCCGATTTTTTTTTTTTCAGATTCGAGCGAAAGTAAACCAGGACCCGATCGAGACGGAACCAGGCGCTTGCGCGACTTTCGAAAGCGAACAGGTGAGTTTCGATTTCCATTCTTATGTTTATAACCGCAGGAGACCTGGAAATCTCGCAGGTGCAAAATTGCCGGCCCCGTTCCTTCCTTTAACTCTATAATGTCGGGCTATTTTCTGCGGTCTCGCGAATATCGACGGGGGTCATAGGCAATAAGACAAATCAAAGACAATCCAATTTGTTTCGTTTTAACAAGGAAGACACATGATGTTTTCCGTTCGTACAATTTATTTTAAAATTGAGTTGTTCTCAATATTCTCTCGAAGGAAAAATGTCTTACGATTTGCATTCGAAGTATAAATTGTTGTTACGTCTGTTATCTGAATCGCAACAGTAAGAGATAAGCAATCTCGCGTGTCCATCAACAACAACAACAAGATTAGGCTTTTTCCTCGAAAGTGTAGCAACTTCAAGTATGAAGTTTAACGTGAAATATTTGGAAATCGATAAAAATGAAAGGCGGAAATATATCGGAAATATACCGGTTGAAAAGGAAGCGTAAATTACTCGCGATCGACATCATTCATGCGGGTGCAATTCACGGGTGCCTTCGATAACGAAGACGGAACAAACGGCCTCTCGTGTAAAGCCCGACTCTACTACTATCGCCTACTACTACCACCACTACTCTACCGCTCCTCGCAGATCAATATTATTCGTAACCCAGTTTTCTCGAAGGTTCCTACTTTCACCGATGGCTGCGAGCGAGGCAACCGCTTAAAGTCATTCATCTCGATTCAATCGGAGTCAGTATAATGTCGCCGGACAAATACGCGCGAGTCATCCGCGATTCTGGGTGCGTAGATGATGGCACATCGATCAGGTTCGGCGTATAATTTGCGCGGCTTCAACTTTCACTCGCGACTCGCCAACACGCGCGTACTTGGGACGTACGTGTGACCAGCTTCCTCGGACGTTCTCGCGTATTTTTTGGCATTCTCGTTTTTTTTCCTCGAGTTTGTCCTCATTTCATATTAAAAAAGCACAACACGCGCGTTTCGCTCCGTTAAAATTTCAAAGTTGAATATCGCTATTTACTACGCTTTATCGTACAGCACAATACGCTCGGAGAATAATAAAAAAAATATAGAACAATCCCTGATAAGATAAGTGATAAAATATATAAACGCTTCTCGCCCTCCTTTCGAAGTCCGGGGAACGTCCCAGTTTTCTTCCCCCATGTCTCGCGCGAAAGAGAAATGGTCACCCTGTGCGTATCCATGCACCTGACCCAATTGACCGCCTCAAGGATATCTCCGCGAGAACACACGTGTCCAAGGTCGTCGGTGTCGTTTCTTAGATTCTGTCATCGCCTAATGCTCGTCATCGAAAGGTCGCTCGATCGAGATAGGAGAGAGACGATGCACCACCATTTCCATATCGTATCCATGAACGACGATCCCGATAGACAAATAAGAGAGGGAAAGAGAAATACAGAGAGAGGGAATAAGCACGGCCAGGAAGTCCTAGTCCGAGTGTATTGCATCGTGGAACGATTGCGTTCGCCTCCCTCCCTCCCCCGCGCACGCGCAGGCGGGCACATATGCACATCCACGTGTGCAGTGCCGTAGCCGTGCGAATAGATCGACGAGAGTACTCTTGAACGAAGATTTCCTTTGTTTCTAGCACGTGCCGCTTTAACGCTTCGAATATTGAAACCATGATTCGACAAAATTTTCCGAGGATTACATGGCGATTTTCAAAAAGCTATTTAGTCGAGGGAAATCGTAGAATATTTTTCGATGAAGATTACATATACAGGGTGTTTCTTAATAAGTGCTAAAAATTTTAGGAGATGATTGAGGGGGATTTATAAACATTAAAAAGTTTTAATAAAAGATTGAATAGGGATTGCTCGTTTCATCCCCTAACAATACGGGAAAAAATATTAATAAATAATCTTTTTACTAGTAGAAAATATCCACGTAATTTCATTTCTTTAACTTGCTCCAAATTTGAGAAAAAATAAAAATCTAATTTTTACTCCCATTTTTGGAGGAGGGTAACTCACAGAGAGGGAGTATATATTTATGAAAAACCCCCCCTTAATTTTCGACAAAGAATCATCTCCTAAAACTTTTCGTACTTATTAAGAAACATCCTGTATATACACACCGGTTAAATGATCAGAGATATATCGATTCTTCTTTCAATTGTTCGCTTTTTTTCCGATAAATTAAAATTTTCTTACCAGTTATCGACTTGCGCATATATATCTTTACTAATTCCCGAATAAATTATCGAAAGCGAAGAATTAAATCAATATGAATCAAGTCTTATTGAAAGGTCGTGCACGCGCCGGAATATGGCACATGTGCCATATCCAACTTGCACCTCCGAGCCTTTTAAAACTCGGTTTCGTTTAAGACGACAATTTCCTTGCAGATAATCAAGCTTGAAATTGTAATCCAAATTTAAACAGACAGCCACTCATCATCGATATTTACTCGAATCTCCTTAAAAAAAGAAGAGCGATAAATCGAATTTAATCCTAGAAATTATGACACAACGTTGGATCTCGAGGCAAATACGCAGAGTTTCTAAATAACTCGAAGATCTTTCTGCAGATACGATCCGCGACGATCACCGAAATGATTTTTTGATACCGGTACATACGCAAATGAACCGAGACCGAAGCGAATCTTTAAACAGCGAGACAATCTGTCGTAATCGACACGAGGCAAATTCCATTAAAATACGTCGCGCACGCGCCAGAATATATCCTCGTTGACGCCTGCACATGGACCTAGATCTCGGAGCGGCGAGGACCGGCGCCGTTGGTGCATCGCGTCGCAGTGCACAGCACGTGACGTCACCGCGAGCGGCACGTGCCCGTTCCCCTGCCCGCGCTCCCCGTTGCCCTCGAATGCGGCATCGCTCGGTAACGAGAGGGGGCGAGACGCGGGGGAGCAGCTACGAGGAAAAGGGGGGGCTAGAGGTGCGGAGGAAGGTAGTTAAGGTCACCGTGGCCCTGACTGCACGCGCGCAAAATTATATCGGTGTGCGACTGTCGGTGACGTGTGCGCGCGCGCGCGCGGGCGGGTGTGTGCGTTGAATTGTGTGCAACGCACGGAAGATTTATTTCTAGTTCCGCGTGCTACTGCTTTTCTAGCCGGAGGTTTTGCCGGTTAAATGCACGAGTCAGCACGAGCATCCCAATGGCGGACCTTGACCGTCGGCTCTGATGTTCGGTTGGTCGTCATACCGTCTGGGAATCGGGATGTAGATCTTGCTACCGCGATACCGCGTTACTCGACGAAGTTTCCCGATTATCGCTCGTACTTCGTAAGCGGTAGCTTTCAGCCACTCGGCCTTTGTGATACGCGATGCACCATTCCTGCGACGGTGCCAGGGATTGTATTTCGGTTCGAAATGCGCTCTCGTTGTAGACTTTAAGGGAGACGTAGTGGCGATGATTGCGGCACAAGTCTAGGTCGACCGAGGAAATTGGATGAGTCCGCTTTTTCGCAGACACGCACGAGGGAAGCCCGAGGAAATATTTCGGAATTTTATCAGATACTCTTTGCCTTGTATCGAAGAAGCGAATGATAAAAGTACTTCGATATTTAAGGATGTTTTGTATTTATTTTCAAAATATTGAGAATTTAATGAAAATTGTACAGAAGGTCTTTACATATGTTTAGAATCTTCAGTACAATTTTTAAAGCGATTCACTACAGCGTTCACAAGTTATAAGGATTTTCATTTGCACCGAATTAACACGTGTTCTTATGGGAAACGTATAACCACGTCGATTCAAATGACAAAAACACATGGAAATAATATTCAGAATTTGTTTAAAATTTGCAAAAGTTTAGATACAGAGGAAATATTTGGTCAAATAATATTATACAAGTACTAACTGGTTAAAAAGATATTAAATATAATTCAATCAAGTTAGCCATGTATCTGTCACAAGACGAACTTCTCTGCCAAAAGTGAATCATTTCAATTAACAAAATTCGGAATATTTCAGTAAAAACGCAATAAATATTAAAAGATACATCTCTGCACTGTAGCTAAGATCAAATGGTAATATTCCACACAATTTCTTACTCAAAACAAAAGTGGATATATTCGTCAATTTTGATTTTCCGCTACTTTTGCTGGAATTGTACATACAAAACATCCTTAATTTGTCGAAATGGAAATATTTGGCAAATTCAATCTTTCTCGTAAGAAAAGATTCTTTCATTTCTTTTACTGTTCAAGAGATTTCATACGGAAAGAAATCCAATTATTTCGTCAATTGTACATGTCTAAAAGATCAGAAAGATTTTTGCATCGTTATTATTCACGCATTTATTCAAAGAAATGAATCTACTCTCGCTCTTTTCACCTCGAATAACAAAATCTTAAAGCATTCCCGTTTAATATCTCCCCTTTATTTCTTTTTGTAATTTATGTACATGCAAATCTGTCTACATCGCATTGTGCGCGTTACATCTGTCGATGAAGCAACGTGCAAATTGCTCGCGAGCGCGGAGAGAGAATAGACTATGACGCATACGAGATCTGAACTTGAAAAGTATCGCCGGCTATCGGATGCATCGATTCAACGGCGATTGCGTCGACATTTGCGTGCGCGGGCTGGCCGGCCCTGCCGGGTCGTATTCCGATATACTTTCGTCCACCTTATGTAATACGTTGCGTAAACTTGACGTTAGCCGTGTAATGCTCGTCATACATATATTTCCGCGCCCGGCAACAACCACGGCTCAAGGAGGATCCGGCCTTAGCAACGTAATCGTATACCCCTCCGTATCATTTCCTCGCTCGTATTCTAGATACTCGGCCCGGAAACGAAGAGACATAAGCGATAATAAGTGAGCGGATAGGTGGCTTTTCGTCGTCACGATGATTACGTTTTAATTCCGCGGAGGATGATGTTATACGAGAAAGTAATTTTCCAACGCGGAAAAAATTGCATACCCCTGATAAAGACCGCTCTCGATCGCTCGCTTCGAAACTGTGTTAGTAACAGTGACTCGTAAAACGGTTTG